ATGCGTACGAAACGTGCCGCGGAATGTAAAATGCTGGAAATTAACTTCCGTCAGTTAACTTCTAACAATTCACGCTGAAATTCACGCGATCCAATAAAACAATTCATACGGCATTGTGACGCGAACGTATAACATTACGAGCTCCACTTTTACGACATGCTTATTTACGACGCGCGTGAAACCCGATTTTCTTTGAGGTTTCTTATTAAGCGGTACGTTCCCAAGTCGTCTGTCAATCACACGCGAAGCAATCATCGTCCGAATGGTTTGTCTGGACGTAGCTCTTGAATGTGAGTTTCGCGTTTCGAAGTGCGTGCACACTAGGAGAAAAAATATAAAAAAATGAGAGAGATGGTTTTGTTCGGTGCGAGTACTAACAATACATATTTACTTAAATCTGCGCTTTCAAAGTTGCATTTTAAAACGTCCCGTTTGAGATGAAAGTTTACCGGAGATTTACAATTCATGTATACTATGAATGCTCAACGAAATTCTCCTGAAAAAGTGATGTTTTCTCACTGCGATTTTTAGTTGAATTCGATAGTAAAATTTTCCTCAAAATCGCTAGCACCCATACTAGGAATACATATTCTTTACTTTTGAAATATTTTTTTGTCTCAGTGTATGAATTGTACCTCGCAAAGATGAATCTTACACACACACGAACGTTGAATATCGCGATATTTATATCAGTCCACATTATCAACCGTTAATCTCTTTTGTTAACAGCTAACTGTGATTCAGCCGACCTTTTACACGCGGTGACATTTGGTTGGCACGCGGCGAGTCACGTGGCGCGCTCATGACAGCAAATGTCAAACGGAAAAATGGGTCCCGGGACGAGCGTCCTTGCGGACAAGCAAGGCTTCTTACGCGACCGGTCGCTATTTTTCCTGACGGTGTAGCGGTCGCTAGCAGTCGAGAGCCTCCGTCTCTCCTTGCATGCTTATCGCTTCTCTCTGGGGAGAACTTGCCGGCGCGGCACCGTCGCGGCCCGCGGAGAAGCACCTTTCACTCGTTTCGTGAATCACTGGCGAAGCGCGGCGTAATTAAGTATCGTTTCTCTCTTTCTCTCTTCCTCTCTCGCGGGGGAAACAGTGACGTAAATGGCGCGTATACACTCGGGAACATCAAGCGGTGTCATCCATCACGAATACCATTTGTCGGCCGCGACGCAGCCCGCGTCGTGATTTCACTGATGTCTCATTATTGTCGCGGTGCGACGTTGGTGGGCCGATTTTCTTCGGTGAAAATCAAGGGGATCCCCGCGCGTGAATAATAATCCAAAACTGCGGGTGAGACTAAAACGAACGACCGGTATCCAGACGAAGCGCGCCGACTCTCCGCGTAATTCGCTGCGGGCGACCGCGCTGCTCCTCAATTAATTGATTAATCTAAGTATCGGGGTTGGAGACGCGAGCTGAGCGCACTCGTAATTGATTGGAAAGCGCCGGAGTTTAGCGTGTCGCGCGCTGCTCGCCCGTAATTTTCACGATTAACGTCACGAACAATTACCCGCGACTTCCTTCGCGAAGGCCGTCCGAAGGTTGCGATCTTTTCCCTCTTTTTCTCCCTTCTCCTCGCGATTTTCACGAGTGACCTGTACCGAGCGAGCTTAAACAATCTGTTCGTTTATCTGGAATGTATCGCAAACTCCAAGTAAGCACACAGAAAAATGCATATTCAAGTGAAAGTTATTTGTATTTCGCATGTTTATATACCCGCGAATTTATCGTAAGCTCATCGTAAGTATCAGGTTTGTTCCAAACACACGTTGAGTCATAGTAAATCTAACATTTCGATCAAAAATATTGAATAAAAACAAGATTTGATTTGCTTGCTGCATTGAGTCTAACCAACTTCTCTTTCGATCAAGTTCCACAAATATTCTCTGGAGTGCGTGACAACTGCAGTGAACTCTCCTCAAATTTGTGAGGAGTATGTCTGAAGTCTATTACTGAGAAAATACTCTTCGTTGGAGGCATTACCTAAGAAGGAAACTAATGTTGCTCAATAGCTTGCCTCAGCAGAAGGACGATCCTTGTCTGTGCGCACGCTATCGTTTAGCCGTGCGATTCGGACGTATCTAATCTGAATGTGTAAAGCGACCTCGGAAACGGAACTCGAGATGCTTCGCCGCTGAGTCTCACGTCAAGCCGACGTTCTCTCACGACGACGGTGTCAGCCGTCAACGTGCGTTCTGTACATTGAAGCGCCTCGCATCATCTCGCACAATCACAAAACCATGTAACCACGCGTATCTCCCCACGCTTTCCAAACTCCGAGACGTGAGAACATGAGGATAGCGGATCCTCCGCGGGAGGTGCACACACCATTATCGCGACCCTCTCGTCGCCGTCAGAGAGAAAGAGAGAGAGAGAGGAGAACTTGCGTTCTGCGCTGCTCCGTGACGGATCACTCTCGGCGTTGCAAAACGGCGCGGCCTTGAGACGAGTTTCTCTCCGAGGGACCGGTACTTGGATGCGAGTCCTCGGAGTGCTCTGCAGGCCTTGAAGACGAATAACGGACGGACAGGTGCAGCGCATACCGGAACTCCGGCGACAGAGGAAGACAGAGTAGACGAGGACGACAGAGAGCTGTCTCCGCGCGAAGCGAGACGGTCTGGAGGAAAAAGAGAAACCATGTTGGAAACCGTGCGGGCATATCGCGGACAATTGAATTTACTGGCGGTTTGTCGCCACCGCGGTGCCTCCGCGACTTATGTGGCGATCGAATGAACGAGCGAGTGCTGCGGGCGCGCCGCTCGAAATCACGAGATTCGGGGGATTCGCTGCGACAATGGAAACTAATTCGCCGGCAGATCGAAGAAAATTCATCTTGTGCCGAGCTAGATGAGGCTTCCCCTCGAGCGCGTCTGTTGCACATTCTTGGATCGATAAATCCGAAATTTCGTACGATGAGAACGTCAAGAAGACGTTTTTGGGGAAAGAAAGATCCACGAGGATGTGTCGCGACTGCAAATATGAAAACGCACAATAGCGCGAAAAAAAGCGCCTAAGAGAGCGGTGAGAGTGAGATATTTTCGCAGTGTTTGTGTCGTTTCCGTTCTACAATTAGCATTGTTCAAATTCACTGATATGAGAAGAGAGCTGTTTGTCCCGAGCATTTGTACAGCGTGTCCTAGAATTCTCGGTATTAACGGCCACCGAATTAGACGGATTGCCCGTTGCACGGACACCGCGCACTGAATTATTTCTACATCGGGTAATGATGAAAAGCGGCGCTTCACGCTTTGCGAATTCACGAGCGCGAACTTCCGCATCCGGGCGGAGCGAGAACCGCGAAAATACTCTGTGCGCGGTCTTCGCGACAAATCAGCGGGATTTTTAAACGAGACGACAGCAAAAACACGCATACTTCTTACGTCCCGAGCGGTCTCCCTTCACGGAACACGACTTCTCTCTAACCGAGTTACCGCATCCAGTCCGTTTTGCTTAACTTGTCTTTTCGCTGGTCGCGCAGCGTGGGATGAAGACCTCAGGAGCTGACCTGGTTCCGATAGATCGATTTTAGCGCGACGCGTCTCACGGCCGTCTTTAAGTGACCGTCGCGCGATACACCGAGCCCAGGATCCCGATTGTTCGCTACAATTCTATCTGCTGCGAGCAGACGGCCACCCGCCGTGTCTCAATATTCATCTCGTCTCTTTCCTCTATCTCTCTGCGAGAGACCCCCGGCTGTTCGTACAAGTGGACGACCAGAATCTTAGATGAACTAAGGTCGCGGTTAATCGGCCGAATCACTGAAATCTGCTCGAAGTAGTGTTACTTGACCCGCGGGGTTTCCTTTCTCGAGAAAGAATCGAGTATATTACACACGAGCGTGAGATATGTACTCGGGACCGGACGACGGCGTTTAGCGGTAAATGTAGAGCGAGAATGCGAAGTAATACCGCGTTGGACACTCACGCGTAAACAACAATGGCGCACGTGCGTGTGTGCGCGTGTTTCCCCGGCTTGTGTGCAATGCTAACTTCTTAAAAGGCGAAGTAGCAGGATAAAACTGCAAGGAAACTTTTTTCCAAAAAACTCGACGTTTTCCGGAAGGAAATTCCAGCACGAAACGACGTCCCCTACACTTCAACATCTCGTCGTTTCGTGGTTCTCTCTCTCTCTCTCTCTCTCTCTCTCCCTCCCTCCCTCTCTTTCTCATGTGAATTTTAATTCTCCTGATGGCGCCCGCACGATGATATCAACGAGCTGCGCTCGACGAAACGAGATATTTAATTTCTCTAACGAGCGTTAGTGCGCGCAATTCGCGTTGAATTCCCTTTTGCTTCACACCTGAAATTAAGAGAGATTACTTCCGGCCCTTTCCTCGCATGCAGGGCGTGTACCGTCGCGCGGAATTCGCGTGCGTGCGTACAGTCTCCCGGATCTCTCCGAGCTTGAATTTCTAATCCCCCGAATCGGAGAGATCGTCGCGATGAATGATGTTTTGCAGCGCGATAGAGAAACGCGATGTGCACATACGGAGTTCGCTCGCGCGTGATCTCCGTAACACGACGCGGCGGATTGCGCGCTCGTTCGCACGAGCACCTACTTCGTGGCACCGTTATTAAGCCACGCGTCGCATGCCTCAGCTTGCGTGCACGGGTGCGTGCTCCGCGGAAAGGTGTCACGCCGAAGGTGCATCCCTTCGAGGGAAGAGAGCTGCCGCGTCGCTAAGGACGCGTTCGCGAACGATGAACCGGTTCATGGACGATGTTCGAAAATCCCGTTATCGATCGGCGAACGATCTCGCGTCGGCAAATCCACGTATGACGCGCGCGCGCACACACGTACACACACACATGTAGGCAGAGAAGCGATAGAGAGAGAGAGAGAGAGAGAGAGAGAGAGAGAGAGAGGGAGAAAAAGAGCGACATGTAAGACGTAACAGCCGCGCGCGCGACGCGCTCGACATTCTAAAAACGTGGCAGAGAGCGCGCTTCCGAACTTTCTGTCTTCCACAGGACATACGTCAGATCGATCACTCACGGTTCCGCGTGGCGTTTGCTCTCTGGCACGATCCGGGGGACATTAACCGCGCGGCCTGATGAATGATGGGTGGTGCGTGCTCGGACAGATGCTGGGTGGATTCACCGATCCCACGACGAGGGACCACCTCTTCCCCTGGGAATGAACTTTCCCGACTCGCGCGAGCTCCAAAGCAGTCACGTATAGGGCTAAGCTCGCGGCACTGTTTCGAACGCGCTCGTACATATGTTAATCGTTCCCGGCGCGATGCGGGAACTGCAGCGCGTTCCGCTCGTCCGTGTCGCAACGACACTGCACCTGCAAGGTTGAGACTTCCGTGTGAATTAAAACATCGTCGCATCGAGATCAAAGTCGGACGACACGAGATTCCTCGTGCGTGCATGGCGAGACACGCGCGCGCGCGCGCGCGCAAGGGAGGGAAAGAGAGTGAGAGAGAAAGAAGGAAAAGACAGATTCGCAGCGGAACGATCTCGAGGACTGATCATTGGTTCTGGTCGAACGAATCGCCCAAGGAACGAATGATGGCTCAGCCGAGACCAGAAGACAGTCAGCTGCGCGACTCGCGCACTTCTCACACGTCAACGACCTGGTCCGCCAGCTCGTTCTGCTGCGACCAGAAGTACGACCCGAGAATCACCGCGAGAGCGGGACGGACTAAAATGTGAATGGACGGTACGTGTGCACGCGACGACGCGGTAACGCGCTCGCTCGCACCATTCTCGTCGCAGCTCTCTCCTCGGGGCCGGTCGATTTCCAGAGCAGTTTCGTGCCCGTCGATACGCACCTTCTTCCTTGATGATCAGCCGTTGATCAACGGTGCGACGCAGTGGAAGAAGGAAGCCCGTGGGTGTGCATGTCGTCGCCGTCTCGTCGCACTAAACGGAGGATACGCCTGACATCGCGCGGAGCGGAGCACGACGCGACGCGGCGCGGCACGGAGCGGAGCAAACGAGTGGCGGCGGCGGCGGCGGCGCCGAGGTTAGGGCGTCGTGAGAGTCGTGGTGCGCGCGACACCTGTTCGCGGCAGCACCTCCGAGTCGCACTTGCGCGCGTCGATATCGTTGCGATGTATCGAGAGTCGATTGGTCTGTTCTTTTCAGCTGCACTGGGCCCTTATTCTTGAAATAGTTGTGTATACGTAAGGGCCCTTGCAGAATGCCAGGCAACAGACAATAGGAATAGGCAATAGCCAATAAGAACAAGGAATGGAAATAATTGACCAATCAGAATTTCTATTCTCTGTTCCTGTTGCCTGGCATTCTGCAAGGGCCCTAAGTTTTACTGCGCAGGTTTAATCATATCATAAAGTAGCTGCGCAGTGAAACGTATACGCAACTATTTCAAGAATAAGGGCTCTGGTGCAATAAGTTAAAGCGAGACAAATATATTTCTCAATAGTTTTCTCACTCTAACTAATTGCACCAATTCAACAGTGCAGCTGAAAAGAACAGACTAGGGCCTCTATTCTTGAAATTTTTGCGTATACATAATGTTCATTGCGCAGCTATTTTATGGTATGATTAAATCTGCGCATTAAACCTAAAACTTACGTATATGCAACTATTTCAAGAACAAGGGCTCTGATGTGTCACTTGAGACTCGAGATTTATCGATGCGTCCGCGAATTGACGTTTCTCTTTCCCGCGCAAATGGCGGACGTTGAGTCGCGATACCGACGAGTTAAAGACGGTTAGTCCTGGGCGAATTTTTACATTGGCGAAGAAAACCCGAGGAATCCGGAGGTGACTGAAGAAGGATGACTTATTTATCACTTGTAAAAACCACTTGTGCAACCTGATATGAACACCTGGACATTCACAATGAGTAATGAGGTATTAATCTTGTAACTCACAACTACCTTTATGAAAAAATATTGTAAGAAAACTATTGAGAATTGTAGTATTCCCTTATAGAAATATCATACTAAGAATCATTGATAATTACTTATTTTCAGTATTAAAAATACTGGATAATAAGTAATTATCAATGATTCTTAGTATGATATTTCTATAAGGGTTTTCGATTAACGAAAATACTGTTTTAATTATTGAAAACTTATTTAAAAACTATTTATAAAATTAACGAATAGATTTTTTATAGTTTTCCAATAGTGTTGTAATAAGTATATAGTAGTATTTCAATATTTTTCAATAGTGCTTCAACAGTTTTCCTATATTGTTCTCAGTAGTTTTTTCTTATAGTTTTTTTCCATAAGGATATCTTGATGCTTTATCGTTACGAATATATACCTGCTATAGTACATTCAGTATTTTTACGAAACTGCATTTGTGTAGTTATTCTCTACATGATTTGATCGATTTGATACTTTTCTATCGACAAATTTATTGGCAGGTTATTTGATAGTAAAATTTTCTGATTCGTTAAATCCCAACTGTTTTTAATATTAACTCGTCGGTGGTCTCGGTGAAATGAAGATAACATCTAGAGAAATCTAGAAAGATCAAGAGAAATTGTCTGTATTCTTGAACGATGTCGCGTTTTCGATATTATTCAAGTACGATTTTCGTCAGATTTGCACACGCACATGATACACTTTGGCTGAGGTTCGTGTAGCGCTGCAAGTACTTGAGAGCGACGAACAGACGAATTATATCGGTTCATTTAACACTTTGGAGCATTCGGAGTGTCAAGCGGACCTATTGAAGTACGAAGTATCCGAGATTCAAGGGCTTTCTTTATATGCATATTTGGAGTTGAACTCGGCCATTTTACTTTAAGTTCCGTTTCTCTTACATTAACGTCACGTACGTGACGTAAGTTGCTCGATTGGCGAATCGAAAGGGCAGCTTCCGCTGTGCGAACATAGCCTCAAAAGAGGGGAAGAAAAATTGCCGCGTCGGCTCCGCGATTTCGAAATGTCGTGCGCGCTCATGTACGCGCGGATCGCTCGCCAGATGGCGACGACGGTCGGCCGCTATATTGATCAAGTTAGATTTTGTGAGGACGCACATTGATAAGATCTCGCGTATATTTTTCGATCGCACGCAATACTCCTGCACTACGTGCGACAATAGTCGTGAGAGTTGGTGGTACACGCGCGACAAAATTCGACCGCGCGCGCTGTGCCCGCGCCCGGCGTTACTACAGCAGCGTCACGTATAAGTCCTCCCTCGTCCATGACGTCACTCGTGAATTACACAAGCGTCATCGCTCAGTCTGTTGTGGAAAATTTCGTAGGATCCATGGTGGTAGCGGCCGCGACGACGGCGACGACGACGATCACCACCACGGTGACGAGGTGCATTGTCTTTTAAACGACACCGGTGGACCCTTTGTCGTTCGCGACGCGCGGAACCTCTACGACACGGAATCGTGCGACACTTCGCAGTCAAAGTGAGCACTTCACCACCGATTTTTCTCTCGTCTTTCTCTCTCATTTTTCCTCGCTAGCGTCTACGTCGTTATTATTGTCGTCGTCATCATTGTCATCGTTATCATTGTCATCGTTATCATCGTCGTTCCATGTCCGAAAATTGGATCCTGCGTGAAACCACAGGAAGGTTTGTCCCGACGAGCCTGTCGTGTGCGTTGTTTGTGTTGTGTGCGTCCCATACACGCCAAACGTCGACGGCGTCGCCGAAGTTCGTGCAGCTCGACGGTGCAAAAACATGTCATCTTCCATCGACGTCTCGCACTTCTGTAATCGCGATTTTTCGCTGTACTCATCGAGAAAATCTGCCCGACGCGTTATTTACAGCCTTCGACATTCGTGAGCATTAGCTATTCCTGGATAAGATTTTTTTTCCATCCATAGCGTGCTTTCGTTTGTTGGTTAGAGAAAAATTGTTGCTCAACCAGCAAAATTCATCGCCACAGTTGTGTCACTTTAGGTGTTTTTATGCTATTTGTATATGATATTTATGTATATTTTCTAATACTTTGATTTGATATATTTCTGTCAATTCTGTTTTTACTTTGTATTGCAGTTGAAGTTTATAGAAGTGATCTTCTGGTTTGTCACAATGTCTATGCAACAGTTCTGTTTGCGGTGGAACAATCATCAACCGAACTTCATCTCAGTTTTCTCCAATTTGCTGAATAATGAGACTCTAGTGGATGTTACTCTTGCTGCTGAAGGCAGGCATCTGCAGGCCCACAAAGTTGTACTATCAGCGTGTAGTACATATTTTCAGTCACTGTTTACAGTGAATCCTTGTCAACATCCTATTGTTATACTTAAGGACATCAAGTTTGCAGACCTTAAGATTATGGTAGACTTCATGTATTATGGAGAAGTAAACATATCTCAAGATCAATTGCCATCTATCATAAAGGTAAGAAATACTTTGATATTGTCAGCGATTGAATGGTCTATTTATACCGCACTACATAGATCTTAATATATAACGTACTATTTGTTTAACAGACGGCAGAGAGCTTAAAGATAAAAGGACTCGCAGAGATGCATTCAGCATCGTTGACCAAATGGCCAAGTGGTAGCAGTGAAACAGGCGGTGCGGAACGCGGTGAATCCTGCTCACCCAGTCCGTCTCCGCTGTCGCCTTCTTTCCGTAGAAAAAGGTTAAGAAAGTCTTCTACTGGTTCAACATCTGGTTCCGGTGATAAACCTGAGGATATTAACGAAATAACATTAGTGGCCACTAATATCGTCAAACCTGAACCTCTAATTGTATCACAAGAAAGTGGAGAAAATCTGAGGCGACCGGTGAACACCAGTACAGAATCTCAAGGCAGCATTGATGAAGATCAAATATCAATTGTAAGTGGATCTGATATTATATTTAAAAACAATTTAAGCAGTAAACACGCAAAGAATTCTAAGTGTTAACAAAACTGCAGCATATTGAACTATAACATATGAAGAACAATATGATAATAAATGATATGCTAAAGTATATGTATTTTTTTCAGATGAGTAATATGGAAAACAGTTCTACCAATACACCAGCCCAAAGTGACGGTTCTATTCAAGATGTAAGTCAACAGTCGGGCGGGAACATTGGACAAAGTTCTGTTCCTTCGCAACCACCCGTTCATCAAGGTAAGACTTTAAGCTTTACATCATTTTACACATACACACACAAGTAGGTACCTTCATAAGTATCCAATCACGTAGTTAGCATTATTTATATCATACAATGATTTAAACTATATATTTTACGCGCGCGCGCGCAGACACACACACACGACACACAAATTTAAAAATATATAAAATGAGTAATGTGTATAAATTTCTAATACTTTTTTTTTATTTATGCTGCATGCCTTACATAATTACATACATGGTTGTGATTTAAAAATTTCTAATTCCAAAATATAGATGCAAGTATTCAAATATATTTTTTCTTAAATACTATATGCTTTTTCCATTTTTTGTTTTTGTGAAAAATTATAATTTAGCTACTTGTAACATGTTGCTTATCAGTGATATGCATTTCAATACATATTAAAGATTTGAACAAATAACTTCAATTCTGTATATATTACATACACGTAAATTGTGTAATATTTATATATTAAAGATATAGGAATGTAAATAATTCATATAATAAGCAAGCAATCATGTAAAACAATTTAATATATATATAAATATGACATCTCATATCATGTGTATATACATTATGAAGTTAGGAGAGAAAGATCTTACTATATTCGTATGCTTTATTGAAATGTATGATTTTTAAATTTTGTAGTTTTTGCAAGATTTCGAATTAAAAATGACAGCCACACACAGAAAGAGGATATGTATAGTCGAATTTGATTGTACAGCAGGCATGCAATTTTTTCTATTTTGACGAGATATAAGTCGGATTATTTCTTTTCTGATTATACAACAGATTGATAGATACAGTGTTAGTGATCTAGAATGATTACATACGCGTTATGGAAGGTATGAGAGTTTGAAGGCATAGTTTTTAATTTGATAGGATGTCACGCGCGAACGGCAGTAGGATTGACAAAGGGAGAGTTTACGATAGTTGTTAGCTATGTTGTGTATTTAATAATATGATTTCTTTTAGTGAACTATATACATACATTGTAATGAAACGCGCAAAATGATTCTGTAACTTCGGAATTGCATGGTACCTTCCCTTTATGCAAATATCTCTGATAATTGTTACTATAAATTATGCATACTGATTGTGGTGGGTATTTATACTGCATGTCGATAAGCGATATTTACACACATTAAATGCTGGCACAGATGCGTTTAAATGTATTGCACAAGGAGAATCAACAGACGTTTGACATGAAAATAGAGCGAAATTTCAGGAATTGATATTTCAATAATGCGAATGTGCAAGAAAAAAAAAGAGATAGTTTCATTCATGAAAGAAGATCACCATGGTACACAGATACATGGCACACAATGTATGATGTTGCCGAAAGGACAGCATATCGGACCTTTGACATTAACGGAGTGTGTATGTGTGCCTTATACTCTGTCCAATAAATTACAATTAAACCGTACACATATTTGAATATTTTAAATAACAACGTGCTTAAAAATGTATCTGTGCCATGCCGCAACTCCATATTTGATAGGCTCATAATCGTTTCTTCACAAATTTTATTTTTCGATATTTACAATTTTCTTTCGCTTACTTAGCTTAGTATTATTTTCTCTCTCTCTATATATATATATTATAGAATAAACTATATTTTATTTTTATTAGATTACAACTATATATATACTTATATATGTATCGCCTTGTTTTATATGAACAAATACGCCGATATATTGTTCGTTATTATTCATAAGCTGGTTATCGTTGGTACAACATAATCGTGTGAAAATTGTATATCTGATTAAGATTGATTTCGACGTGACGCATACGGATGAGATACATTAATTATCACGGGAATGCATCAACTGTGCTTTGTGCAAGAGTATCGCGTATCGTAGAGTTATGTTAAAAGATAAAAAATGGTAGATGGTCAGTAAATCGCGGATACTACAGTTGTTTTCTCTTTCTCACCGTTCATTTCATAATACTTTGACGATATTACGCCCAACGTTATTCTTTCATCTAATCACACTTATCTTTGCCGTGAACGCAAAGTATATTATCAGCGGGTTGATAATTCCTGTGCTCTGACCAACGATCAATCGGTCTGTTCTACAGGATTACAATGGACTATAATGGAGCACACATATCCACGTTTCGCTCTGTCCTCGTGTCAAACGAATCTGTCGATCCAAGCGTCGTCGGCGTTTACGACGCCCGAAATAACAGCAACCTCGACCATCAGCGAACAGTACTCTGGTACCAGCACGACTGGTTCCAGTTGCGCCCTGACGAACTATTCGAACTCCGCCCATGGGACGTTGCAGCATGCGTCGTCAGGCGGCCCCTCGCCATCGACGCAGTGCCCAAGCAACTGCCAGAGTCCTTGCGCCAGCCCGCAGACTGCGATTAAGAGGAAGCGCTCGACTAATCCACAAGCGGACGAGAACTTTATACGCGCGCTTGACGCTGTGCGTTACGGCGGCATAGGGTTTTGCAAGGCCGCGCGGATGTACGGCGTGAACAACCGAACGCTCTGGCTAGAATACAAGAAGCGCGGCTACCCGAACAATCGACCCAGTCTCAAGTCCCGCGTCAAACAGGAGGTCAATTCCTCGCCGCCGCCGCCACCGCCGCCGGCGCCCCCGGCGCAGCCGATGAACTCGCAGAGTCCGACGCCCATGGGTCCACCTACGACTCCGCACAGCACACACAATACACACAGCACGCACACCATGCTAACCAGTCCCCATACGATGCTGAGCGGCTACATCGACAGCAGGCACACGGACTATGCGTTACCGAGCACCACGATGCCGATCAATCTGCACGGCGTTAATTACAACACCATGTGAACTGAATATTATCCGGAGAGTCACTTGTATAGACGAGCTTGAGAAGTATTATTTCCCTCCCTATCTTCTTCGTCTGCCTGCGATCCTTTTCCATCCTCTGTGCAAATGATTGTTTAGAAGTGAGGCAGATGTCACAATATCGTCGAAATCGCAAAGTGTCCGGATTACATTCTCCAGACATCTTTCCCTGCGTTTGGCTACACATTATACTTGTAGACCTCTGGATATCTCGATCTCGAATATAAAAAGTATGTTTTGTATATTGTACAGGATTTATCGGATGTCTCGCACTTTTTTCTTCGGTTATGAATGATTTTATGATTTTGTATGTATGTATGTATGTATGCGTGTACGTGCGTGCGAAAACTCGATTTTGTTTCTCACATCATAAAATCTTGTCGAGAATTATAACGATATTCGCGATCGTTTTATCACGTGATTACGTTATCACGCTAAATTTGAAGACGAGTATTCAAATTTTTGGAAGCAATTGAAAATAATCTGATGATTAGATCATTGGACCAAATTTTCCTTTGAGAAGAATCGTATTCCTCAAGGATTTATTTATTATTTATTATTACTATATATTAGTAAATAAGAAAAAAATTTAGCCCAATATTTATACAAAATATCGTATTTATAACATAGAGAAAATTGCGCGGCCTTTGATACAGCCTGTACGTTATAGATTGTCCCGCATCGATTTTGTTGAAACAAAATTTTCTTTTACAATATGTGTTTCTCGATTAAATATTTTTGTCTTTGCACTTTTTTTCCACTCAAGCTAAATGGTGTCTATAATGTGATAAATAACCGGACTTATGATAATTGGTAATCACTAATTACACAGACACACACATACACATAACGATCATATGGTACGGACATGTCAAATGTTGGCGCACGTTCGCTTGTTAGCGTCTTTCAAGACATTCGCGAAGATATTGATAGTTGCGTTTAGTCCTTTTTTCTCCTATTTTTCCTTACCTATCGTCGCAGCAACCTTGTTAGCGAAGATTTCAGTGTCATCTAGAATTGGTGCAATCACAGTGCAATCGCCGACGAAATAAGGACTAGAATGTCGGATTTACAGCACTGGCAATAGTGATACTATACCGTTGCACCGATTGTAGTCCCTGTCGTGTAATTCGTATAACTTTTTTGTACATAGTAGATAACGAGGACGCGAAACTAGCTAGAGATCTACGTCGTCGTCCTGTACTTGCACACATCCGCGTCGTTACATTGTACGAGATTAATAATATGCACACACACGGAGATAATCTATCAATACATGTATTACAAGAATTAATTGCTGCTTTGTTGAATATATGAGAACGATTGTAGATTTTCTTTCTCGCGGGATACGTATTCCTCTATGCACGAGAGTTCACTTGATTTCTCTTCGCTTTTTATTACGTTATATGTACACACACGAGAAATCATGATATGTCTGTTATGTGCTATATAGTAGTATTATTCCATTGCCGCTTCTTTTTGCGAATTCCGTTTACCCTTCGTTCGCTTTTGTTAATAATCCGGAAAATTATATCGACGGGAATAACGTACGACGTGGAATAACGTTGCTAATAGACGTAATTGTATTAGATGTATTAAATTTTCCAAAATTAATCCGAACTTTATGAGAGAGTGGTTTCGCCGATTTGGAAGTAAATTACGAATTCAACGTGAAATATGGTCAGAGAGCTTTAGAAGCGTGTTTTAAGTATACGAATATATATATATATACACATACATACATACATATATATATATATATATATATATATATATATATATATATATATATATATATATATTATATATATTATATATATACATATTTTATTATATTTTATATATATATATATATATATAATTATATATTATATATATACATATTTATGTACGAAAATATTATATTTTGCCTTTGTAATATTTGTGTTTCCGTTACGTTTAGCTGTAATAACGATTTGTTAATTCGATTTTGCCGTGTGTAATGAAAAGAAACGATTATTTTCACAACTAATAGAATGCCAATTTTATGAGAGCTATTTCTAATTTTACATTTAAAGTTATAATATTCTATGTTGTACAGTTTATTACGTACAATGTTCGATGAGTCGTTTCCGAACAGTGATATAAGGCATGTATTGAATACAAAAGAACACAAAGACACGTGAGAATCCTGGATGAGATATTTTGATTGTACTTCCCATCTTCATCCGTTTCTGTACATTGAGGAAACTTCCGTTACAGTGGGATAAGGATGAATCAGCTTCTTACGAAGGTCGAAAAAAAAAAAATATATATATATATATATATATTTGAATGGTTTAAAATTAGAGATTAGTCTTTAAAAGTAAAATAGCCGTTAATTGCACTGTTAAGAAGCATTTATACCCATTATATAAACGATTAAGAAGTAATTCTGAAGGAATAAAAATTATTCTAACAGTTTGCAACAGAATGGGAGTTCTGTTTCGACGACCTCCCTTATTGATCTCCCGTGCGAAGCGAACGGTCGACTTTATCCGGAATTATGATGTCGATTCTCCGTTAGCCGGCGAACATAATTATCTGTGTAATTTAAAGAAGCAATTATGTATATCGGCACAACGAGTATTATAATTGTTCTTCTCGTTACGCATCATTATCCGCAATCGTTGGATCAACAGGATCGTCGGTCCGTTTGTTTAATAGCCTTCATTAAAATAACAGCTGTTATCGAAACGCGAGATCGCTAACACTGTATTCTGCGTTGTAATCATCCAATACAAGATGTCCATCAATCTGTTGTGCGATATAAAGGTGCCAATGTTTTCACGTTTACTTGTTGACTTGTGACATACGCAACACTACTAGCCGACACATCTAAAATCGATCTATTTATTATTATAGTTCCTCAGTGCAAGCAGACGCCGGTGAAGAGGGCACGGCTGCTGATGCGGCAGCCGCGGGTGAAGAAGGAGCCGAGTCACCTGTCGCCAGATAGTGAGACGACAACGTGCTCGCCGCACATCGTCTCGTCCTCGATTCACGCGACCACACCGACGTTGAATCTTCCTCAGACGTCGAGGAGCTGGGAGGAGTCGCGTATATCGCCGCCGCCGCACAGCATGTTGGTCAATCAGCCGAACCTGTTGACGGTGACGACGTCGACGAATTTGTTGACGGTGCCGCAGCCGTCCTACTTGACTAAGCAGCACTCGCATCCACTGCTCACCAGTCAGCAGCAAAGCACGTCCGGCAATTACTGGATACACCGGCAGCACTCGAATCCGGAGTTCCCCGGCAGGACCACGAGTCCCTCGATAGTAGTCGAACCGGCGCCCATTGTCAAGACGGAGGAAGAAGTATGCGAGATGGCAGCGACGACTCCTGTTTCTGAAGCAACAAGCGGCGGCGGCGGGGGCGGTACGTCAACGATTGCTATTAGTGGAGGATTGAGGATCAAGACAATAGAGTTGAGGCGAAGCTCGTCGTCGCCGCAGGTAAAAATCGAGTTGTTATTAGGACCTTAACTTAGTTTCCGCCCGCAAATGTTAGATGGCAATGCAAACAGTTCTAGTAGTCATTACTAACGAAACAGGTAGTTTGTGATTAATTTCGACATTTCTCGATAACATTCAGTCAGCATACACAATTATTTTCCTAAACAACAATTTCTTTTGCTTTGTGAAAAATGGAACGCGATAAAGTGTTTTTTCGACATGTGCTTTTGCACT